TGTCATAGTTATTTCTGAGTTCATTCAAACTGACATTGAAAAAATGTTAGCATCTGCATTGTGCAGAATTGAAATATATATTATTTTATTATTACATATCATTGCTTGATAAAGACGAAAGCATCATCGTCGAAACGTCGCAAGTTATTTAATAAAGTAATTGTTATCCATATAATTGTGTCCAGTTATTATTACATATTGTTATATTATACACAGTTTCAAATTTTATCAATATTGTTGTCATATAACATTATTTTACTTAATCGATACAATGTACTGGCTGTACTATACTTGTGAAGTACACAATTTTATAAGTATCCAATGTAGACTTAAAAGCACTCGATTCTTTCTTAGTACCTCGTGTCTCTCATTAAAACCAAATTTAACCATCACCTTTTTTTCTTTCTTATCTTCACCCATCGTTAACTTTTATCTTAAATCATACATTAACAACTTAGACAAAAAGTGATGTATTTCAAAAGCTTTATTTATTGTATAACCAATGGCAAATAAGTTAAGTGCTTTTAAAGTAAGATTTCGCCATATAAAATATTGGTAAGAAATGATATATGATGTTCACGTCTTACTTTCTGCACATGAATGAGCCAATACAATGCTGAAAACTAGGGAAATTTAAAAAGGGTATAGTCATTAGTCAGTCAGAGCAAATAGTTTCCAGGCGTTTCACCATTCATGAAGAATATATCAGAAAACATTACAAGTTCATCCAAGTGGGATGTCTCAAACCGATTGAAACAACCTTTTGCCACCAAGAAGTGCGTTCATTTAATGAATCATATACTTAAGAACTCCGTCTGTATTGTCATGATTGTCTGTGTATCAGACCAACTTGTGAACCGATATACCTATCTGCCAATTCCTTGGCACCCATGTCAATAAAAATAATGCCCATAATATTACAGCCCGATTTGGATATTAGTCGGTAGCCATTTTTCTAGTAATAATAAGATCACCTCCACTCTGACTTTTTTTTAGGGTGATTGCAGCATCGCTGGCTGAAGAGTGTGAATCTGGAAGAGGATTATGTGGAGTAAGAAATGACAACAATCGACCGGTTATTGGTCTCCCAAAGGTAAGCTTAGAACTTTACATCCTATTATTGCATTAATGTATCACTCCTCCGTTTTTAACTATTGTGTAAGACATGAGATGTTAGCGATAACTAATTAAACTAAAATATCATATTTAATATAGCCTATTATATATAGAATGGATTTTTTTTTTTTTGCAATGCTCACGATTAGCTTATTCCTGTAATAGCATACATACACATTTTAATACAAATAGAAATATATACATCGTACTATAAGGATTAAGCAGCCTACGTTTATCCTACACCGAAATTCCAATTCGTTTAATGTACATATTATAATTAAAAGAGGATTTTTTAGAAGACAGATCTGTATCTATTTATTGCTAATGTTGTTCAAGAGTTGAACTTTCTGCAAGTATATTGACCCTTACCGATGTTATAGATCAAGACATATAAAACCAAAGAACAAGTTTGGCTTCATTTTCAGCATACTTTAATGAAATAATACTTAAAAGGCAATGTTTCATAAGGTTTTGAAATGGTCATATTTTGGCTTCATTTCTATTAAATTGTTTTAGGAATTGTGTATTATATAATTTATATAATTGTGTAACATGGATATTCTCGTGGAATGTTGTTTCGTGTTGTTGAAAATAATGTAACATGGTCGCATGTTACCTTTTGCAATGTTAAATGAGAAATCATTTTAATGACTTAACAACTGTTACAGTCCACAAAGAAACAAAAACATTTATTTTGTACAACGAAAGCGCAAATAAGACTCTCGCTGATCAACATCTCTTCCAGTTGTCCAAAGGCCATGGCGCCGGAACTTTCGTACCCTTTACAACTAGGTAGACTGTATATTGATGAAAGATTATTGCAGGCGCCAATCCAACGGTCACACCATATTTTATATGCTCTGGGCCTATTGAAGAGCATCCTGGTTTAGAGTAATGCCAAGCTACGCACAGCACAGTGCAACACTTTTTAGAGTAATTGTAAATTTTAATGATTTTGTGATTTGAAAATCTTTCAAATTAAGACATACTTTTGTGCCCTTTCAAGACAAATTGCTTCGAACCAAAACCTTTGTTTCACACAACATCCTCGGTAAACATTCACTGAAAGCTGGTAGAATTTTAACATTTCTGAAAGACCATTCGGTTATAACATCTATTTTAAAGGTAGCCTACTCGACTACCCGAAAACTGGCAAATCGATCGCAATTGATTACATCATAAGATCATGCCATTCCGTGACAAACTGTACCAATGATTATCTTTGAATGACATTTTGAAGTAGACAGAACAGAAGATAAGTAAGAACACTATTATGTACAATTGATAATGAAAAGTTGCGAGTATGGCGTTAAGATTGGTTTTTAAACTAGGAAAGTCGGCATTTCTATTATATAACAGAAATAGCGGATTGTATTATTAAATTGTCTAGGCAATCATATTTTAAATTTCTCTATATAAAAGGTGAAATTTGAATACATAATTTTTCAGACGAATATCAAATCTAATTTTAGAAAGCAAGCAATGATACCTTTGGTTATAAGTCATCATCCTACGATATTAAAATAAAGGTTTTCGATAATTACTGCTCAAATAAGAGTTCTATTCCATTCCATTTGATAGAAAATATGGCTTAAAGGGGCAGTATACAAACTATTCATTATTAAAAACGTTGTAAATTATAAGTGAAAATATGTTTAAAACGTGCTATTAAAATTTATGTATCTACTTGATCAAACTGAATATGTTTAAAAAGGGTTAATTAAAATCGGAGCGTACTAATTGTTAATTAAGCAGTTTCGGTGTAAATCTTTGTAATTGCTCGATATCATTAGTTGAAAACTTCACACGAAGGTAATATAAAACTTGTGCATCATTACGATGCTATTCACACATCACCGCTGCAGTAGACCGATCTAAAATTCAGCTCGTTCTATGATCTTTTAAATTAATATAGATCGAATAGCCCAATCAGTTAAATGCTAACCAAGCTCCTTCAATACCAACCGAGTACCAATTTGAATTTTACGGCTCAATTATATAGCGGAAATTTGGATGTCTTCCATTACGTGTTGCATTCTCATATATGTAATATCATCAGGGCAATACTGAACCAAATACTGCTTCTGGCTTAGTTATTATTACCAGATATATGTGGACACAGTATATCAATAAAGATTACACGTTTTGGCTCTCCCTTTGACAGCGAAATCTTAGTAGATTATTTGGCATATGTTTTGAATTTTCATCTATTCAAAAGCAAAGAGCATAACAACATTTGACTGCTCCTTTACTGGTACATTTCAGTATTAACTCTTGTCGATCATCTGTGATTTGACAATTGACTCGATCCGGTTTAGCCCCTAGAAGACCATCGTGGATAATGTGCAAAAGACAACTGAATCGAATACGCCAACCGTTCTTAACTGACTGAGATTTTACTTCCATCCTATCTGGAATGAAATAAGGGTATAACGACCTGCACTTGATTGCCGTGCAGAGGACATTGACTCATTGTGTCCATCTCTTTAAAAAGAGGCAAATAATATACGTATGTGGTGGAACATGCACAGGAAATAAACAAAGTTTGATAGTATTTTATCATAATTATTAGGAAAGCCAGACTCTTGCCTTCAGCAAACACATTGGTTTAATCGGATTTGTTATGATGAAAAGAAAACTTGATAATGTCAAGAGGTTTTATTAACCTTACAATACTCTGTATATTAATAAATGATGTTATTCCTGTACCTCTCCTTCACTTATCAATGATCCAAGATCTGGTATTTCCACAATGATAAATGAAAAATAAGATTAAAGAAAAACTCTCGTTTGCCTAGAGCATCATAATGTCTGTATCGTTGATTAAAATATTAAGCCGAACCCAGACATAGTTTTGGAAAATATTTCCATGATAATGACGTTCAAAACGTTTACTTACGACAAAAGTGACAATTCTTTCCTTATTAAAGTCAGAAAATGATTACGAGAGCAGGCAAAGAGTATGATAAATATAAAATATTCGGAAACAAATGTATAACGTGAAATGGTTAATTCGAGGGTAATTATACGATTTAAGCGTGAGATCAAAGTTGATTTAAACCGCAGAGTAGAGAAATACGTTTGGTTTGACGGTTGCACATTCTTTTCGAATACCATCTTTTGAAGGATTTCTACCCTCTCAGCTTGTGGCACAAGGATCCTAATAGCTATACATTTTTCATTTCGACCCCTTGCGGCTCACAACATAAACATAAAATTGAAGCAAATCATATGGTTACCTCGACCAAAATACCAAGTGGTCTGGTCTGGTATCTATTCGTTTAATTAGGACTATTTTTTTAAGAATAATTTCAAACTCGAACCAATATCATTCATTATGGTCGTACAGGCGTAATAATGGTACAAAAGAATCTTCGAAAGCGTTAGCGAACCCAAGGGAGTTATATCTTTAAAAAAAATTGAAGTTTGAATAGTATATAATGTGTACGAAAAATGGTTTAAGAAGCTTGATAAATGAAAACAGCACAGATGATTTCTTAGCAGGCGAATTAATAGGATACATTCACTTATTGTTTCCGTGGGCACCTGGTTATGTCATGCATTTCCATCGCAAATGACCCAAGATAGCTAATTGCCTCACTGTGTCTTTTATTGGTGTTTTAGGTATCTTAATTTGCAAAGTGGGTAGGCTTCTTGTCTTCATGTAATACATGAAGAACTTTCAATTATCCCATTTATCAGTTTTCGTTGTAGGTTCATAAAAAATACTCTTGAGCATCAAATTGAGCCGTGTTGTCTTTCAAATCAGTCGTAAAGTTATATAAAACTGATATGACTATTTAAACATTGAATGTCTATCAATATTGACACAATATTCCCGAACATATAATTGAGTTATGACAATAATATAAGTTCTTACGTACCTGAAGAAACAAGAGAAGTTTACACATAGTTAAACCTAGAAACCAGGTAAATGTGATATCCTGAACCAGCGTTGGTGGCAAACATAAACTAATCACCAGAAAGTCACCAATAGCTAAATTAACAATAAATACATTGGTCACTGTTCGCATGCTGTGATTCTTCCACACAGCAAAAACCACAAGAGAGTTGCCCACAAGTCCCATAATAAAAGTCAAAAAATAAATGACAACAAATATCCATTCTGCCCAGCTGGGTGTTATATGATTATTTAGATATTCCTCATAATCTTCAAGATCATAACAGTATTCATTCCAACATTCGGTCCCATTGTCTGTATTATTGAAAGTGTCATTACCCGATAAAACAGTACTATTCAATTCAGAAGCCATATTTTTCTAATAAAAAGTTTGTCATTTAACTCCCAGACGTTTGTAGGGCATTATCATCCACAAGTTTACATCTGTCTCAATCGCATAAGTTGCTGATTGTCCATGATGCCAACCACATGTTCTTCGGTAAACTGAACCGCTCCGAGTATGACAAAAAGTTTTGTTCTACAAGAGAACCGTGTCGGAGTTGACTGCTAGTATTTGTGGATTAATAGTCCTTCGTATCGACAAATCACACTTCTTACTACTCAAATCGCTGCTAAATCTATTACATGTGATGCGTAGATCTATCTTCACAGATAATTTCAAGATTCACCAGTTAGTAAAGAAACGAATGAGAGAGATTGTCTTCCCTGTTGGTTGTTGATTGCCAGCACGCTGTAAAAGAAATCAGATGTTGTTTTTGTTGATGGAGTACTCTATTACCTTACTACTGTCTATCTTCATATCCTTTCATCATTTTACGTTTTTTCACCAGTTGTCTTCAATTTACTGGAGGTCTTTTTGTTTAATTTTTTTTATCTCTTTTACTAACTGATGTCTTAATCTAGATGAGCTACAGGTTTTTCCTGTCAGTCATCAGTTTAAAGGTGAATCTCGACATGAAACGGTCGAATAGAAATAACTCAGATAAACTAACCACGATTAGAGCCAGTGCTCGAAGGTATCAGCAACACACTTTTTGAGGTTAAAGAAGAATAACCCTCGACAGCGTTATCAAAAGTGCCAATACATACATCAAACGCAACTACAAGTATACAAAACACGGGTAAAACAAGGCCCAAAGCGCCAAGTTGGAATCAGCTCACAATATATTAACTAAGCGACCAATCAAATGTAAGGCGTTAATCGGATACTTCAAACACAAATTGACATATGTTACAATATGCATCACAGTTGTTCGCTGTAGATTTCGGAAGCAATGAGCACTAATGAACTATTCTTATTTAGTGAATCCTTTACCTTACAAACATCTTCAATGGCCTGCCTCGTAACAATAGACGTAATTACAAGAGTTACGTAAAATTGCCTTCATTTAAAATCTGCATTTGTATTGGTTAAATTTTGTCTGTCCTGGTACAACGTGAACACATCAATGACATATTTAAAGCTAGATCATGCCACTAACCAAGATTATGACATAAAAATTAAGTACATTTCTTTTTTAGCCAGCCACAATCAGTGTCTCACGACACAGGCTCGCAAACTTGGGTTGGAACCTATGATTGTCTGTTATCTGGAAAAAATTGACTTCATCGTACTTTGCATGTCGTTGTCCGTCTCTATGGAATAGCCAAGTAAGAACTCATTTCCTATGTACACTTATTTCAGATAAAGGGTGACACTCGATGTATTAACGATAAGTTTTTTTGTAATAACGTTATAAGAAAATGCCGTATGTCGTATGCTGAATGTGTAATCACCATGTACAGTTACTGCATTGAAGTTATTTCGGGTTTCTCTCAGAGATCAGAAAACGTTTCCATCAACTTAAAGACAGTTTTGTGTCAAAATCCATTAACAGTTTTAGTTTAATCTGGACACCATTTAAGCCACATATTCATCATTTTTAACGAATTGATAAATTGAAAAGAATTTGCAATTGAATCTCCACATGGACGTTTCATTGAATATGGATATATGTCATTTCCTTCGGCTTCATTAAATGTTATAAAAGAGACTAGACAGGTCGTTAGATTTGTTTGACGATCAGATTCAGTTTTTTCTCTTGACAATTTGACAACTTATTTACTGAGGTGAATTGATTTTATGCCCTACTGGACTGCAATGTATTGGATTTAAGAATTCATAAAAAAAATGCGGTGAGCATAATTTTGATGGAATTGTTTCTATTTGACAGGTATCAGCTCAAATTCATTGATATGATAAAATCGGTGACCCAATTTAAAAATCGTTCATACATTATCGCACAAATCGGTAGGTCACAGTAATAATGTTATATACATTTCGGTCTAACTACTAAAACAACTTAGTAGTCCAAACATAATATGATTTATCCGATACAGTACAGACTGTCATAACGAGGAACAAGGGAATATAAATTAATGTTATATACGCCTAAAAAGTCACGAAAGTCTGACAAATACAAGTAACATGAGTAATCGGAGTAGTAAGTTATGGTCAATACATTCTGTGTAACTTCTTGGATTTCAACTGGTCATACCAACACCCCATAGAGTTACCTACAAGCCCACCAAGGGACTCGCCAAGCTCCAGTTATTAAAAGCAGTGTGATGTAAGAAAAAAATAAACTGAATCTTAAATAGCAAGTATGTCTCATGCTCTGTCTCTTGACCACTGCAACCCATCTTCTCTAAAGGTTTAATTGATCCCTATGATTTTTCTGGTAGATAGAGATGGTGGTGTGTAATGGAGGTTAATGGCAAAATCTAAAGGTAATGGCAAGACAGTGATATATTTCCAAACAAAACTTACTTAACGCAGTTTACGTATTGTAAAGAAATCCATTAATATGTGAAATGATTTGGAGCAAACCATCCTTGAAACGGATTTTGGTTCCAAAGATACGTTGGGGTTTATTTAATCCATGTTTGTCAGCATATCTCGTCAATTTGAGGATCCTACATAGCTTATAACTGCAGAATTATGATTTTGTTTCAGAAATTATGATTGGCATTACGCCTGTAGGATTGTGATAGATTAGTATGTAAAGACTGGTAATGTGAATTACACCACAGATGCGTTTGTGATTCATCTTGCAATAATGAATGCCCATTCTGTCGCATATAATTTGTGATGTGAAAATTCTGACTATGCTATTGATTGGTAATATTATTACAAGTAATTAAATGAAATACTTCAACATCAAGCGTCACTTAGTTATGCTTAATTAGGCTATCTTTTTCAAATATTTGTCCTCCACAAGATGATGTCTAAGCACTCAAACTATATCTAATATGCAATAAATAAAGAGAAACCTTGCCATGAGATTGGCGGGTTTCTCAATATGAAGTCCAGGCGGCAATGTCCTCTTTCAGGGAATCGATCAACAAATAAACCCACTCTTTTACTGTGTTCATATTCATCTCAATTGAAAATAGGACCATAGTTTTGAGGGTTGTCTTGAACCGTTGTCGCTTCAACAAAAAAAGCTTCAAAACTTCCAGTGACAACATGCACAGGATAGTCAAGAATGTGTTCATAGTGACAACATGCACAGGGTAGAGTTGAGAATTTGTTACATAGTGACAACATGCATAGGATAGAGTCGAGAATGTGTTACATAGTGACAACATGCACAAGGTAGAGTCGAGAATGTGTTACATAGTGACAACAAGCACAGGGTAGAGTCGAGAATTTGTTCATAGTGACAACAAACATAGGATAGAGTCAAGAATGTGTTCATAGTGACAACATGCATAGGGTAGAGTCATGAATTTGTTCATAGTGACCACGGGCATAGGGTTGATTCAAGACAACGGGACTTAATATATAGAAATCAGTCCTTCGGATTGCCCTATTCGGACTTCTTTAATTACGCTGATTTAGTTTGATATTTTTCTCATCTCCGAGACATTTAATGGGGTTGCTAACTAGAATTATGAACATAGTGAGAATTAATGGCTATAATGGGGGTATTTTGTAATCCAGACATCTCTGGTGGCTTAACACAATTGGTTCTTCTGATGTTGACAAGTATGCCGTTATACAGTGGTTATATTATCCCATGGTGGCGAGCTTAGATTTTAATATACACGAAAGGTATTCTTAATTTACTAGAATAAATCTCTCTTGAAATTAAAAGGCACAATTGCTCGGTGCCTTGTCTAGCATCGTACATGAAGGCTACATGTAGATCGTGTGTACAAATATGAAACCCACCCTCCTTTTAATAATTCCCTTATTGTTGTTATTGTGTGTCTTCGGTAGCGTAACCAAACTTATGTCAAGAGTTGGGGGTGGGGGTAATTCAATTTTATCTTCATATAGCGTAAATAACAAAAAGTTCATTTCTTAAATATTGAAGTATTCAAAAGAGATAAATTACGACACCTTGGGGTATTTTATCAAATATATAAAACCTCATAAACTAAAGTATTACTTAGTATAAGTAAGTGGCTTGTACTTATAACTCAGCTGGAAGTTTATGTATTTTTATGTTTTTGGTAATAAACACATGTAACAACATTTTTAAAACGATCGGCAACCGTTTAATAGAAATAAGGAGAGGATCACTAAAGCAGTCGGTTTACTTGAAACTGAATAATTCCTTGATGCTTAAACAATTGATACCTAATTAAATCTACAGGTGGTCCTTTGTTAAGAAGATTTGTCAGATTCAACATTTATTGATGAGATCAATACCAAATTAAGATTGGTTTAGTGGGCAGCCATCTTAAAAATAGTGGTTTGTGAATATTGCCATAGAACTGATTTTCGTCCGCTCATGGATGCTATATAAAAACAAGTCAGTTGTCAGATCGCACAGCATTGAGTAACATGTTTCAGGTTCTGTTTTATTATGTCTAACATAAGAATATTTCAAAATGAGTGATCTGAAATTTTAATAATAATGTGCCCTCCTTCAGAGGTAAACATCTTAAGTGATAAAAGCTTTACGAGAGTGTAAAAGGATTATTTGGCTTCAGGTTTAAAAAAAAATATCAAAACGAATCTTAATATCGATTTCGGTTTTTGTAACATAGTGTTCATGCAAACAGCATATAAAGGCTTTAGATCCCTGTATTTCCAAGCTATGGATGCAAAACCCTGTCGATGGTTTTCACTTTGCCTCAATAACTGGGGGTACCAGTTTAGAAAATGGACACGAAGAGTTCAACAGATTTCAAACTTTCCGATCCAATGATTTTCCAGAAGAATAAATACCCTGCTTTCACCTTGCTTATATAGGTTTAACCCTTGGGCGA